ATATATATATATATATATATATATATATGGAATTTCAGATTCAATGTGAAAAGTGATCAATTAAAAGTAACAAATTTACAAGTCATGAGTATAGAAACCAACAAGCTTTGTAATTTAAATTTTTCAGTGTTTCCTTTCTTCAAATTAAATAAAAGACATATTCAGTCACATATGCAGTACTCTCCAAAAAAAAAAAAAAGATAAATGCAGGACAACTGCAGGGTGTCATAGGTTCAACATGCTCTATAAATATTTTCTCTCAAAATAACTCTTATTCATATTACATAAATGGTCAATGATTTGAGTCTGTTATAGTATATACACTTCCTTGTTTGAACCTAAGATGATGATGTCCACACAAAAGTGGTTGACAAGCACAATGCATCATTTATCATGCATAAATTGCCGTTTCATGCTGAGATTTTTAGCGGAATAGACCCTGAGAGCCAATAAAAACTTCCAAAATATCAAATGAAAATTTTATCTTCAGAACTCTCAGATTACTTCATCTACTTTGCTATGCATTACCTATGAGTTTATATTCCTTTATGAACTACCTATTTGTTTCCCTTAAAAGAGCCTCAATTAAATGAAGACTCATTTATTTGGTTACATCTTTGTGATTCTATCCAAGAACCAGAGGGACCTTAAAAGTTTCTCTGTATCTACTTGGTCTCCAAATGTCCATAGAATAGTGATGCCAAGCAGAACCATGGCCACATGTAGTTGCTTGTCATTTATCATGTCCAAAATAGTGAGTGGACTGGCAAATCATAACAAAAGATGCAGATGCAGAATTTTGACCCTCTTTCTCTCAATTTCAGCTTGGAGAAGACAAGTTACTACGGTACTGTAAGTTTCCCATATATGCCCCACTTTTAAAACTCAACAATTTTATATATATATATATATATATATATATATATATATATATATATTTGTGATAAAAAGAAAAGTGCCCAATTTGTTCATTTTTAAAAAATGGTATAATGTTGTGAATTAAAGTACAACTGCCTAACATGTCAAGTAAAAGGATAACAAAAGAAATGAACGACATCTTTCGACTTGCATTTGAATGCATAACCCCTCCATCTGTCAAGCAGTTGTGAAGCAATCACCCTGGAGAAGCACTGCAACCGGGAACAAGTTTTATGCCCGCATCTTTGTCAACCGCTCTCAGGACCTTAGTAGTAATTGTTCTGTTTGAAGAGCCTATAGGAATGAATTCGCCATTTGCAAAACAGACCCTGGCAACGGATGGGCCATTTCAACAGACCTAAATCTTAACGTGGGGCTCAGTTCACGGAGGTAATAGGAGAAGGAAGGAGTGACTCTTTTCTCAAATTTGGATTGGAAATTAAGGGAGAATGATCTCTAGAGGCCAACTATACAAAACAACCCTCAATTTCCTTCCCCTTAGCTTCAAAAACAGAATTACAATTTGGGGTATAGACTATGAACGCCCCACCCCTTCTCTTTCCGCCCGCTGCCACCACCACCTTCAAAGTTAAAGTCAGCGCTCGCGCAACTGGGGCTGCGGACTCCCTCACCAAGAATTCCACCAGGAGCCCATTCAGTGGGGGAACAGCGCTCTGGGATTCTGCCACCAGCTCTGCGACGCCACCAGCTGCCAGGCCATCTCTTAGGAGACCTCACCCCTCCCAGCCCCGCCCTCGGCCCCGCCCGGAGCCAGCACCAGAGTTAATCTCAACCCCAACGTCCCCACTCCTTTCAATCCAGATCACTAGCCAGGAGGTGGGGGTGTTAGAAGGGGGCAGAAGTGGGGTGGGGGAGGGGAAAAATCAAAACAGTCCCAGTTCCTGGTAGTCAGGACGCAAGTGGCAAGACCCCAGCACGCGCGCGACACGCGCGCGCGCATACACACACACACACACACACACACACACTCACTCACTTACTTGCTCGCGCGCCCCATTCCCCAGGTTCAATGCCTAGTGGCGACAGGATGAAAGAAAGGAGGTAAGGAAGGACAGATGGGATGGCGAGAAGGCCCGCAGTTACTGTGTGAGTGACATTTGCAGACAGCAAGCCATTCTTAAGGAATTATGAAAGTGAGAACGTCCCAGATCCCTTCATATCCCCAAAGCTGGATTCTCCTGATAGTGGCCCCGGTCGCTTTCTTTTTAGAGGGGCTCTGGAAGGCGAGGAGGAGAGCCAAAGCCAAGTTTTCCCCACACTGCCCTCCCGGGCTTGGCCCAGGGCCCAGAGCCCGGCCCCCCTTCAGCCCCGGCTAGGGAGGCTGCCAGGCGGGGAACAGACTTGCCAAGGGACTCTGGAAGAGCACGACAGCAGAAGAGGGGGCATCTTGCACGCTCTGGCCGGGTTGCTCATGCCTTCCTCTGCTGACACACCCCCAGTTAACCCTTTCCTCCGACTCTACACACATTCACATACAGAGATACGCGCTTGCGTTTATCCTCCCACCATTCCAGGTCCATCGAATAAAACACTAGTTGATTTTCTTCCTGATAAAAAAAAAAAAAAAAAAAAAAGTGCAACAACAACTCTTCTTGAGAGTCGCCGAAGCAAAGAAAGTCCGTCTGCAGGCAGATTTCTGTAGTTACCTAGGAGTTTGGAAATCTGGAGGTCCCAAGCAAAAATGGGACCCAGAACCCCGAGGGGATCTAGGCGGCGAACTCGCTCCCCACCCCGATCCTCTCACCTCCTTAAGTTCTTTGGCCACGTCCTTCAGGTCGCCCAGGACTAATTCCAGATCCTCCACGATGATCTTGATTTGTTCCTTCACCTTGGTTTTGGAGGCTGCCGGCTGTCCCTCTGCTGGAGAGGACGAGGAGGGGTTCCCCTTGGACTTGGCTGACATTCTTTGGGGGCAAGCGACGCAGGTCAGGACAGGCGGGCGAGCAAAGGCTGCTGCGCGCCCCCGTCTCTGGAGCTGCTACAGCCGCTTCCACCCCAGTCCCCCCACATCTTGGGCGCTCCCTGGGCAGCGGCGGATGGCTGCGCTCCGCGATCGGCCAGGCGTCCGCACTGTGGTGCTGCCATCAACTCCCGAGACGCGGCGCTCGGCGCGGGGCTGCAGACGGGCGAGCAGCGCGCCTGCGCCTCCTCCCGCCGCCGCCCGCAGCTCTCGCGCACACACGCGCTAACTCCCACGGGTGGAGAGGGGCTCTAGGCTGTGCCAAGGTCTGTCAGCGGCAGTCCCCGCCGCACTTCTACTTCCTTCAGGGGTCTCTCCTCGACCCCCTTGGCATCAAGGTGCCGGGAGATATCGCGTTCTACCTGCCCCCTCGTCTGGATCCTGAAATGCCCCCATCATCGCAGCCTGCTATGAATCTTCTCACATGTAGGCAGTATTCTTTCTGCTTCACCCGCCAGGACAGACCTGTATCAATTTAGAAAGAACCACAATAAGATTAGAAGTTGGAGTTCGGGTCAGTAAAGAGATCCTAAATAATTATTCAGAACCAAATAATGCCCAGAGAACTCCGATCATTTACCGAGTGACCTGCAAGTTAAAACATACTTCTGCAGGAGAGAAGTGCGGGAGGCATAAAGCGACCCCTCCTCACTCCCTGGAATCATGACATTATATTTAACAAGTATTCGTCAAAGAGGTAGCCAAACGCGGCCGATTCCACAGAACTAATAGAGGATTTATGAATTTTAAGTCCCATACACAAAATAAAATCCCCCTGAGACTGTCTGAGTCATCTTGGTTGTACTTCTTAACTTCTTATAGGTGCCAGCATTTTGTGGGTGGGGGAGGGAAGGGGGATCTGTCTCTTTTTATTACCTATGTGATGTATGCTTTGGGAGTGGGGTCCTATTTGGATTTCTTGTGGGAGCTAAATTTAAGAATTTGCCTCCAACTTCTCCTCTATCAATGTTTTTACCTCTATTTCAAATCTTGTGGTACTAAACAAATAGGAAATAGCTTTCTGACTTGTTCTGTCAAAATGACCCAGGGAGGCTAGTTAATAGGAAGCTTTCAGTTTATTCTCAGTAGGTGGCCACCATTCTCATTAGCTAGAGTTTTAATTTCCTTAGTAGCAAACTCATGGGCTATTAGCTACTGACCTGGCAGGCTGGTTCTACTTTATTTTCTTGAGTGCACACTCCTCCAGATCATTCTTTCAGGCTTCTCATTTTGGTCAGTCTTAAGCAGGATTCTGTCTCTTGCTTTTGACAAGCCAAGTAGCCTGAACATGCTCCTGATTATGAAAAAAAAAAAAAAGTCTTGTCAGCTCTCTTCTTCTCAGTTACTGAGCCTCCTAATAATCAATCACACTATTCAATATGAACTCATCTTGACAAAGTTTTTGAAATTTTATTTAGAATATGAAGGAAATAAAACAAAAGAAAAATAGAAATTTAGAAACAGTGGGAAAAGAAGAATTGGAAAGTAGATAATACTAAAATAGAATTGAAATAAGAAAAGAATAATAGAGCCAGTGTGAAGTAAGCTAATTGGAAAGGAGGAAAGAAATGTTTGGGTGTGTTAAAAAAGCAATATGCCTGAGTTCTCTAATGTAGGGTGAATAAGTTTTCTAACTTTGTGTATTTCCTCGGGTTCTTTATAAAGATGTTTTTATAAATTTATAAAGATGTTCTTTATAAATCTGTTCTCCTATGATATCCAATACTAATAATGAACCAAATTGCTCTGGCTCAAAATCAAATCATCAATATTATACTAAAAGACAACATTCACACCTAATTACAGTTTATTCTTGACTGATGTTTATCATCTATCTATATCTACATACACTATCAGGTCAATTGAAAGGAAAAAATCAAAATTGGCATCTAGGCCCAAACTGAGGAAGCTAGTAGAATTCCAGCAATGGTATCTGCATCTACCACGATCTTACAGTCAGTAAAGATTGCTTAAAGTTACCCTACATAAAAAAAAAAAAAATTAAAGATACAATTATAAGAAGAGTTAAAACATCAAAGAAAATAGGGTTGGAATAAAAAGGGTACATGAATATAATTAAATATATCTTCTCCTTCTTTTTGTATCACCCTTATAGAAAAATCTTTCATTCCTTTAGTTCATCCTAGATTTGCTAGACATCAGTATATATTTGTTGTTTTAGAGTCAAATTGTAGGAACCACATAGCAAAAGTGACACCTAATAAAATTTCTAATGAATTTCTCCATAAATGTGTTTATGAACTAGTGATAGCTGCAAATGAATATACACCCAAACCACATTATAAACTGAGACAGGATAACAGATTTCTAAATGAAGGAAATTACTTATTTAGTGAAGTAATTGTTTACTCTGAATTTTATTCTTTCTATTTATTTATCAGTTCCTAATTTTGTATAGGAAGAACTGGATAATTAAAAAAGATTATCTAGTAGTTGTTTCTTCTGTTGCAAACCCTTATTGATATTCTCAAATTTGTGTATAATCCATTATCATTGATCCATACGAATTAACCTTCAGAAGAAAATCCGGTCAAACTGATGCAATTTTAAAATCAAAATGAGCAAAAATATCCCCCCAACTTCCTCTCATTTTTTTTTTTGGCACTGACTGTTACTAATATATTATCAAAATATCTCTCATCGATTCTGAAAAGAATGATCTGTATAACACAAAATGACTCTTACTGGAGACTTTCTCTTTTAAATGAACTTATTTTTGTTTCTAAGATCCAATAAAGTCATTAGACGTATATGAAAACTTGAAGAATAAAAAAAGCTTTTGTTTTGATCATAATAATTTTTCCCTAGGGGTGTGGAAGTGGGGAATTTAAAGATATGGAAGTCTATGAGAGAACAAACTCTTGGTGATTTGAGAGATTAGAAAAGTTCTGCACATATACATTGACTATTAAATGTACTGAAGATATCCTTGCAGTGCTTTTCAAACTCAGTATATATCAGATCTTCCTCAAAACAGATTCTTGGTCCCCATTCCCATGGCGTCTGATTGACTCAGTGGGCCTGGGGTTGAGTTTGAAATTTGCACTTCATCAAGTTTCCAGACTGCTGGTAGGCAACCACACTTTGAAAATTATTGGTTTGGGAGAGTAAAACCTAAGTCTCTCTTTAGCTAGAATAAGCTTTTGGGATCACATAAGCAAATGTGTTTATGTTATAGATGAGAAAACCAATACTTTGGGAGGTTAAATGGCAGAGCTAATGTTGAAGTCTAGAGCACAACAGATGGAGAGTTAGTACCACAGTGAAAATTAGAACCCACATTTTGCTGAATTATTTTCATTTATGTGGGGAGCATCTCCTTTCTATATATCAACTGCTATAGGCAAAATAGGTATATACTATAGATACATATTGGTAAAAATATAATAAGTGTAGTCTGAAATTTGAAATACAAATATTCATTGTAGTATCCTAAGTAAATAGAGCTGTATCTTATAAAGAATAGCTACTCAATAAACATTTGGTAAAAAATGAGTGAATGAAATGTTTTCTCTCTGTGTTTTGAAATCAATTCAACTCAACAAATATTTGCGGATGGATACTCGGGGCAAGAATTTATGCCAGGGAGTAGATATGCCACTAGGTCTAGCAAGACATTGTCCCAGCAAGAACAAAAAGATAATTCCAAATATTTTTAGTATAAAGTGATTACCTCAGAGTATCTCTTCCTACCCTCTTTCCCAACTGTAGTCAGTTCATTTTACCGAATCTCTGCTACATAAGGCTGAATGTTTTTCTCTCCCCAAACTTATTAAGTTGAATCTTAGCCACAACGGTGATGGCATTAGGAGGTGGGGCTTTTGGAAAGTGATTAGGTCCTGAGCTAGGAGACTTCACAAATGGATTACTGCTGTTATAGAAGAGACCCTGGAGAACTCGCTCTCCACTTTCATAATTTAAGGTTACAGTGAGAAGACCTCCTTCTGGGAGAAGCCAAATCCACACTAGACACCAGGTCTTCCAGCACCTTGATCTTGGATTTTCAGCCCCCATTCCTGTGAGAAACAAGTTTCTGTTGTTATAAGCTTATACTGTTTTGTTTTAGCCAAATAGAGTAAAACAACCTTCACTGTATGTTAGTTGTGAGGCTTTTATCCATGTGACAGAAACCGAACTTTTGTTCCAATCAACAAAAAATGTAAGGATAGAAATATTTACATGTAGGACTGGAGCCAGAAACCTAGGACTATTAGAGTATTATTTTCTCTATAAATCTCATTCCTCCTTTTGTGGAATAAGCAATTGATTCCCAGTTGAACCTCAATTACTGGTAAGTTGAGGCTTATAACTTCACAATTTTGCAACTAAAAGTGGACTGTGTCTGCAGGGTGTAAAACTGCTGTTAAAGTTGTACCTTTCTTTCAATAGAAAAGCCATACATTGATATACCATCGTTTTCCAGCAGGTGGCAGTGAAATGAATTAGTCTACCCAAATCTGTATATTATGATAATTTTCTGAGGGATGGAAAGAAAAAAAAATTTTAAGGAATCAGCATTATTTTCAATATTTCACAGAGAAGGTTACAATATGAATTAGCAGTGGTCCTCTTTGGGCCAGTGATTCCTACTTGGATGAAACTGCCACCCATGTGGACAATTACTCCTCAAAAGAAGATGTATGCCACTGAGAAAATAAAAACATTACATATTCACCATGTAACCTTTAGATGGGAATCTATATATTAATTTTATCTCATACTTTTAGATTGACATTTTAAAATTGTTTTGCTTCCCCAAACTGACTTCAATCATGTCCATTTGGCAATGAAAAGTCTTCCTTAATTATTCATGCATCCAGGTAATTTTAGCAGATACTTGGAGGTTCCTATCCTTATTAAATTCCAGGTTTTTTTGTCTAATGTAAATGAGTAAGAGTAGAGACCAGGATAAAGTGAGAGAGGACAGAATTTGGAACAGGCTGCACCACTTTGTCTGCTTGAGGAACACCCTAGCTATGTACCATTGGGTGTTAGGTGGCCACCTGTTATCCACTGTATGTAACCAAATACAGTACACAGTTTTAGTTCTTCGTCCAGGAATTGGTATAGAATGACTAGCCCAACTCTGCAGTCAAGGGAGTACTCAA